TGCTAGGGCATACTGTCACAAAAAAAACATTGGGCTTTTTAAAAGCCTTCCTCATAGCAGTGAGTGCTTCTAGCTTAGTGAGATGAATCTGTTGCTCATGTTACCACTTTCTGAGTGCAACAACCAGTTGATGGGTGAAGATGGCAGAGAGGGACTGCAGGGAGATACAAAGCAGTGTTAAAATGCATGGTTCCTTCTATGTATTTGAAAGCATGAGAAATAATTAGCTAGATAGTAAAGTAACTAACAGGGAAAGCAAAATATTTCCCTAGGCAGAAGTTTGCCCAGTAGCCTTTGTTGTAGTAAGTCATAATAGTGTCAGATTTTCGTCTTCTCAAAGCTTAATAGCAAGAGGTAAGGTCCTATTAAAACAGGTAAAGACTTCTTTCTGCCACTGACTCCAGAAGGACCTAATAGCCTGGATGGTTGTGTGTGGAGGGTAGGAGAATCTACCTCACTCAGGTAGATTCTAATAACTAAGGTCAAGGAGATTTTAGAATGCTGATGCATTTCTGTAGCCTTGATAGGCTTAAGCCTCAGTAACTCTGTCCTTTTGGTAAACACAACACCATGCTTCTGAAATATCCAAATGTCACCGGGGCTGGTATTTATAATAGTCAAGGGACACCTCCTTTTGGCTTTTTAAAACCTGTCTAGGTCACTGGAAGTGAATGGGCAGCTTTGGATGAAACATTGGACCGAGAGGTGCTACTGTTACTGCAAGGCCCCGAACAACTGGGAGAAACCTTCAAGGCTATCATCCAAAAACTGGTAGGACATTGCATAAGGAATTGTAGGAATGCTGGATTCTTCCAGACTTTTAGCCTTGTCAAAACATCCTGTAGTCAGTGTTTCCACATTTGATAGAGTCCTGGTCTCGTAGGCACATCCTTCTGCTTTCTAATAGTTGAAGGCTTCTCTAACTTTTAAAACACTCATCAAATAGATTCCTCTGTGTCAAACTCACTTTCTGCCTTTGGAGTGGAACCTTGGATTTACCATAAGACCCGAGTAGGGGAAGTGCACAATTGCACTGTTCCAGGAACAGGTCAGGGACTGAATTGGACCAAATTGTGATTTTTTTTTTTTCCCCTGCTTCCCCTTTACTACAGTACCGGTAATCTGTTCAGCCTTTTCCCCTAGTGATCATGCCTACCCCTACTACACTGGCTCTGCTGTGGTGGCCAGTCCATAACCCAGTGACATGCACACTTAGGGCTCTGCCCTGGCCTAGCCTCCTGTATTGGAAGTTGTGTAATGCTGAATCTGTGTGAAGGGAAGGGTAAACTAGAGAGATAAATTACCTATGGCCCCTTGTGCCTATGGTGTATAAGTCAATTCATAACTGAGGCCTGAAGTAACTGTCACAACAATTTCCTTCGGCCTTAGACAAATAGTTGGATTCTAATATCTGCAGACAATGCTTCCTGCCAGTTCCTCGTATGATGTATCATTTATTGGAGAGAAGTCTCTCTAGTACAGTTACTAGCCTAGATTGCACTTGGGTGATGCTGTGTAGCAGTAAGTAATTGAAGCATTAATATGTAACTTTGCAGCAAGAGGAAGCCTCTGAAGCAGAAGAACTTGTTGTGACCACTTTGCAATGGGTTGCAGATCCTGAGGTGAATGTGCGGGAGACTTGTGAAAGAAAGCTTGCAGTAAGTAACCCTGCTCTTCTAGCCCACGTTATTTCTGAAGTGATAGCTTTTTTCCACTTCAACATCAAGGAGGAGGCTTGAGGATGAAACTAATTAGAAAGCCCTTCATGGTTATCAAAGAATGGGGTGACTTTTTTTTATATTTTAAACAACTGAAACCTCTCCATTTTACACCCTAGTGCTCCTCATTTTGTCCTTTCGTCTTTGTCGTATTACTGTAGTCTCCTTTCCTTGTGGTTATGTTTTTACCTGCCTGAATTTCATGAGAGAAAAGTGTATTAAACTGTGTACTTGCTCTCTAATATATAAAGCTCCTCCTATTCCGCATACCATACTGAAAGCTAGGTGTACTATGCTGAAGTTAAAACATCTTAATTACAGCTGGTTGGAGAACGGATCCTTCAGTGGGGGAAAAAATGGCTCATTTGCAACAATCTTTTAACTTCTTTCCAAATCAGAGATTTGGTTTGTCATTACAGTGCTTCCCACTCCAAAAAAACTCATGTCATGCAACCATTGTCTGGGGCTGAGGCTCCTTGGCCAGATTGCATATCCCACAATGTACTATATGCTCCCCCTTCTTTTACTGTGGTAAATACGGTAAGTACCTGGTTAGTGATCATGAAAAATTGTTGGGCACATCTCTGTAGGTGGGGTTCCCAGACCAAGAGATGATACCTATGTTGAGGGGGCTCTCACCAGACTAGCACAGTCTATGCTGAGAGTGAGGTTTGTTTAACTGCATCGTTCAGGGCTGTGGCTCTTTCACATGGGAGAGCAATGTAGTTACAGACTGAATTTCCTGGTGTGGACTAAACCTACTTTGCAGTAGAAAAATTACGGACTGTTCACAATATGTGTAAAAGGAGTGAGCTAATGCTGGCCAAACTGATCCCTAAAATCAGTGGAATTGTATCAGGGATAATCATAGCTTTTTAACAGCAAAAACAGACTGTGTCTACCTCCTGCTGCAGGTTTGAACCATAGTGGGGGTTTTTTCTAGTCTAGACTTGGCTTAATAGTTGTCTCTCTCCCTTCTTATCACTACTGCCTGCTCACTGAAGCATGCCAGTTCTGCAGTAGACATAGTCACACCAGACTTTGAACAACACTTCTGTGCTCCTTGTCTCCCTTCAGTTCATGTGAAAGGGATTCTCTCAAAAGCCAGTGCACCCAGGGTGTGCCTGCTCACATAATCTGGGGAGTTATTGGCTCCGTTGTTAATCTTCAGTAAAATCTCCTTTAAAAGCACTGCTGAGTAGGGATGTAAGCAACTTGTCAACTACCTGATAAGCATTTGCTTATCGGATAGTCAAGTAAGAACTCAACTAGTCGCTTCCCCCCTTGCTGCCTCTATCAGACAGGCATCAAGGGAGGGAGCATGAGCTAGTGCTGGGGAGGGGGTGAGCCAGTTTAAAAGCCAGTTCCCCCAGCACCATCTCTGCATGGGGCAGCGAGGAAACAGTCCCACTCACGTCAGTCCCACGGCTGCACCTCTCCCTTTGGACTGTACAAGAGCTAATTAATAGAAATTTAACATCCCTACTGCTGAGGCCAAAAGGCACGTGCTAGCCTAGCTCTTAAATATTACTTTCTCCTACTTCATAGCCTAAATCACACAAGATTAAAAACAAGCCTAAGGTTAGTATGACTCTACCTTTCTGACTATAGCAACTAAGGCCTCGTCTACGCTAGGCAATTAAGTCAGTATAACTACATTGCTTAAGGGCATAAAAAAATTCACACCCCCGAATGACAGTTAAACCAATCTAACCCCACAAGGAGGTGGAGCAGCACACTGCATGTGCCCACCACCACCACGGGGAGGGGAAAATGGAGGGAGGCAGATGGCCCTAGCCTCCCTGACCCGGAGTACAGCCCCAGCCCCAGAGCACAGAGAGCAGGTGGTGGGGGTAGCAACACTTTGTGCCAGCCCCCACAAATGCCTACAGTAGGCATTCTGAGGGCAGAATGTGGGTGGGGCCAGACTGGTGGTTTGGGAAGGCAAAGCCATCCCCTGCCTAGCATACTAGCCACCCCGGCAAAATATCATGGGATAAGGTGATGTTTTTTCAACAAAGAAAAACACTTCTTACTGAGCACCCAATTGGGGGGTTTGTTTTGTCAAAATTATGGGCAATGTTAAATGAAAATGACTCTTTTTTTTTTTTTTTTTTTTTTTTTTTTATTAAATACCAAGAAAATTAGTGAACGTTGCTAATTCTAATGACCTTTTCATCCTTCTCTTACAGAAAGCTAAGCATATGCCACATCTGTCTCAACCATGCTTGTTCGAAGTCCCACTAACACTGCCCATCTGTTCTGACCTCTTTTTTAAAAAGGATATGGGTGTTAAGGCCTGGTCACTTCCTGTGACTTGCGTAGGAGATGCACCCAAACCAGGAGCTGGTCAGGGCTCTGCTATGATCCAGTGTTAACACATAGCACTCAGTATTAAATGATGCTTTCAAAGCAAGTGACTACATATGCTTCTTAGACTCATGTCAAACTTCTCAAGTAGACTGCATGTGGGCAGATTATACTGCTGCTTCTGAATAGGAGATACTCTAGAAATTTGACACGATCATTTAATTGTTTTTCTTGGCCCCAACATTGAAGCTATTGCAATATATCTAGAGAGAGTCTTACTCAGGAGCCACCTCAGAAAGGAACAAACATACTGAATTGTGGTTACCTCTTTCACAATAATTGTTGCAAGTCATTATTCGAGAGCAAGGATTAAGTTAGCAGCATTACTAATCGCTTTAATTCTGTGCCCCTTCCTCTTGAAAGCCACAAACATAAAGAAAACAATTGTTACTCTTCAGAAGGCTTTTACATGAAAGGCAACCCTTATGTCCTCAAATTATAACCTGTAGTAGTAACAGGAAAAAACCTTTTACATCCTATCTGCACTCACCCAAACCATCTGAGAGGCAGGAGAGGGGAGGAGAGGGAGAAAGATCAGATAAATATACTAGACTTTGGCTGGTGAGTTCAGTTGAGACTTCTTGGAACACAGACACACCCTGCTCTTCCCTCACCCCAGTTCAAATGGGAGGTAAGAGAGTGCACCTTGTCCATGCATTGATTGGCCTCATGAGGAGGAGAATGGTCTCAAGCAATCAGATCTCAAACAGTCCAAGTTGGAATCCATGCTATACATCCCACCCTCGAAATGAACAGGCAACCAGTACAGATCTCTGAGCATGTTACATGCTCTCTTAACAGTTCTACTATATCCAGTGTTATAAACAATTGCTGGAAAAGAATTATAGCCTAAAAGAAACTACAGTACACACTTGTTAGTAATAAAACATCGGTGCCCTTTGCTATGTGGCTATTGCTGTTCTGGTAACATCATCTGACCAAAGGCAGCTGATGCTTCTGATACCTCAGATAGTTGCAGTACATGCTAATAATCTAGAATTGTACCAATGGGAGGTATGGTGGTGGTTGCTACAGTATTTAGTAATAGGTACCATACATTTTTCCACCTGTGCTCCGTTCTGCATTTGTAGTCTACTGCTGTATTGTATCACATGGGCACTGAATAATTATAAAATTATGAAAAAATATTTTAAAGAAAAATCTAACCATAACATATTTACTTTTATTTGTCATTACTTCTGATACTTGCACTAAAGTAATACTTCATATGCACTGCACATTTCCCTGGATGAGGGCATCTGCTAAGCAAATAATAATGCAATTGGTCTAAACTGAAGTAGTATTTCACATCTGTGCATTCTACTTAAAATATCAACTTGTAAAATAATTAGGAATGGATAAACTCACTATCTTTGGGTGAAAGAACTTTTAATTTGCTCTGCTTCTCAGTCAGAATGTCCCAAAGTGACCTGTAGACTCTGGCACCACATCCCTTTAGCTGTGAAAAGTGCTGCATGTTGAAAGCCTTCAACAGTTCAGAGTTTGTCCGAGGGGCAACTCACCACAGTCACCCTCATTCTCTCTGTTTTCCTCTTGACTGATTAAATGTTTCATCCACACAAGCCCATATAGCTGGCCGTGCCAAAGTGCTCAGTAATTCAGAGGTTAGCTCTTTGAATGTGAGCAAATCGACAGTCACCAATATATCCTGCTTCTCCATGCTTATTTGAAGTGGAACTTCTTTCAGGAGGTTATCAAACTGTTCTATATCCTTGTCTTGAACTGGTGGAACAAATGTATATTTCCTGAAACCATTGGAAATTATTATTGGTGCTACATTTCGTCGTGCCTTGGCAAAAGGAGGCATGTTGGAACAAAAGAAAACATTGGGTTCAGACTTAAAAAAACCCTAACTTATTTCTAAAGTCTTTAATTTCAAGGGACGATTTGGAAGGAGGCGGTTTCTCTGCAAAAAACACTTTTTGAAAAATGGATGAAAATCCACTTTTCAAACAGTTGTACTGATTACACTATTATGTACCATGTGCTTATCTCTTTCCTCTTCAAAGAACTGAGTTGTTACACTCAATGTTGCATGAAGTCCATCCTTGTTTACTTATTGCTAGCAGCAATGTTCCCTCTAATTTTTTCCATCCATGTGCAAAATTTTACGTGCACTAAGTCATGTGCCACACCAGTGGAAACACATGCTGCCAGCTCTGGGTGTTCTGCTAATGAACAGGGCTGCATTTGAATCTCTCCTGGGTGGCTGCCCAAGTGCTCCGTTTAGAGGAAACATTGGCTGGCAGTCTAATATGGAGATGTATTCGACTGCTAAAGGATGGGGGATAGGGAAAGGCTGACTCTGCTGACCAAAGTCCCTGTACAGTACTAATGTGATTAGTAAACCTTGCACTTCTCTCATTAATGTGGTATTTTTAATGTTTAAAAATGAATAGGACCTCAAGCAAGTGCTAGAAGAGAGGCGAAATCACTGGATTAAAAATCTCCATCTCTTAGAAGAACATAGAGAATCCCTGGATAAAGAGTTTGTTAGAATGGCAGGAAATCTGAGGAGATTAAGAACAGAGCAGCTTCACTTAAGGAAAGAACTCTCTTCCGGGTATGTCCTAATTCTCTCCCGTCCTCCCCCAACACACATGGCCACCCTACTACCTCCTGTAAATGACACATGGGAATCAGACCAAGACTACTTTGAAAACTAATCGCATGCTTCTTTGTGAGTACATCTGTATGTGGGTTTATCTCTATACCAAGTAAGAATGCATCTTTTTAGAAGCTCTTCTAAAACACCAGGCAAACCACAAACTAAACAGTAGAAAACCTGCATGTTATGCAGGTGCAACCACTAAATAAGCAGAACTGTTGCCTGTGCATAAAACTGATGGTCTGTCAGACGTGGGCACACAAACATCCTTCAATACCAGACAGAACCATTTCTCACTCAGGACAGCTCCCTGTCTTGATTTCATAGTGGTCAGGGCAAAAATTTGGACTCCAAGTGAATTATTTTCTTATAGGAGATATGGGTGAATATTGGCTAGGAAAGAACATCCCTATTCTCATTTTATTGGTGATATGTGCATGGGTTTAAACAAAGCCTGATGTGAGTTTTACAGCGTTCAGGAAGGCAGCTGTTCAAATTCTCAGCCAGGTGAGTTTGTGTAACTTGTTCCCTACATATGCACAAATCCTCTTGAGAAAAATGTCTCGCCTGCCTCTTCCATATTCCCTATCTCTACATAGAGAGTTGGCATGCACAACATACCCTCGCTATGCATTCATGTCTGGACACACAGCTTAATCCCTCTGAGCTTGGAGTCCGTATTTTTGCTGGTGCTGAGCAAGCATACTGTCCGCCTGGCCCAACTTAATCGTGTTGGTCTTTCTGATTCTCTCACCATTGGTGAAGTGCTAGTGTAAGCCAGCTGCTGGTGGTGGGTCCAGCTGAAGATACTCCTTAAAAATGGTGATGCCTGAAACTGCCGCCAGTGTAGCCGTAACAGACAGAGCAAATTCAGAACAAGGTCTGTTTAGATACAGCCCTGCTATTCTACAATGCAACATAACCCTATTGAAGGTCACTGATTGGCCACCTTCTATTATAGGAAGATGCTGAATTTCCATTGGTAGCTGTAGTCTCCCTGAAGCACCTTTTAAAGCACCAGGTGACTGACCAATCAAAGCTATGTAACTGTAGTGATCACTAATTCTGCCTGCAAAGTCAGCTTCTGATGTTGGTACTAATGCTATTGACTTAGTATCCTCTTACCACTTACCTCTAAAATACCCACATGGATGGTATGATTATATAAAATAAAATTTGGTACTGGTGCAGCATACTCCTCCTCCTTTTCCACATTGGAATTCTTGTATACAGAACTTGCATAGCATTTGCACAGGTTTGGGTGGGTAGGAACACTTCTGATCTGACAGATAAATACAGCCAGGCTTGTTCACATGGTTGGCTAATCTCTAACCCTGTGTTTTGTGTTTGAGAAGTTAAAGCTTTTTAATAGTTTAACATAAAATGTGGCCTCTTTCTTAGCATATGGGTATCTCACTTCCCAAGCATGTTTTTTCTGAACAGTCGGGGACTGCTTGTGTCTTGCTTTTTTGCCCGCTGCAGACAACATGAGCTAGAGGCTGTCAAACAGTTGCAGGAAGAAGCTGTCAGACGGGCAGATGCTCTTGGCTTGCAGCTCCAAGAAGCTACCAAACAATTGGAGGATTCCTGCAAACAGGTAGGGGAGTGACCGGGTGTTCCACACACCAGAAAGCTACGCTCTATATGCCTCGGCAAGCAGATATTCCAACCAAGCATGGTTTCCTGAACTGTCGCGCTGCAAAACTGTGACTTGCAGAGGAAGTAAAAGCAGAGGAGGTGGCGTCAACAGCTTGCTGATGAAAGAGGCAACTTTGCATATTTGTGGTGGCTTAAACTCAAAAATAGCTTTTTATACCGTCCACCCAAATGCAGAAGTTCAGAAGGGGCTTATCACTTCCTGAGAGACATTTCTCTTCATGCAAATGAAACTGTAGAGATCTTTGTGTCAGTCAGGGCTGTGAAGTTTTACTGGTGTGTGCTCAGGTTGAAGATCGAGATGGGGCACTTCATTCTGCCTGGGAAGAAGCCAGATCTTTGCAGTGTGTGCTAGAGGAAGCCATTTCTGAACAGAGAAACCTTCAGGCTATGAATACAGCATTAATGAGCTCTTGCCAGACACTTGAGGAAAAACACAAAGAACAGGAAGGTAAGTACTTGTCTCATATTCACTTGTAGCACTAGCAAATCATGTGCCGCAGTTAGATAATGGCAGAATCAAATGAGGTCATGCTACATAGTGACCTTTGTGGTAGACAGCACACTGACAGTTCTTCTGAGACTGCCACAGTCCTGCCTCCTTGCGCAGTGATCCAGAGGGGTCTTGAACTAAGCCAGGTCCAGACCTACTGGCCCTTCAGAGAGAAACCTCCAACCAAAATTCCAGGGGGCTTCAAGATTCAGGGTTGGTGACTCAGTAGGTGGCGCTTTCCCTCTGAGTCAGTGTTAAGAAGCAGTATCACTGAAGATGCTATTTTCACCTTAGTACTGGGAGTTAACCCTCTTTCCTTGCTACCTCTACTCTTCTGTGGGGTATGTGCATATATATCCAGTGCCACTCTCTGGAAAGACAATGCTGAGCTGAGGCCAAGGCATGCTCCTAAATACTTAGCTGCAACTTATGCCTTAAGAATATTATTCCCTAGTATTACAAAAAAATCCCCAACATGGTTTTACAGTTTGCAGGTTTATTCCTTTATAGCAACTGCATTTGCATGTTTACCCTTTGATTATATTGTTAGCTGCATGGAAGAGGTATAAAACTGGCAATTTTTTTTTTTTTTTTATCTTTTGGCATTACGCTCCTGCCAGAACCTACTGAGAAAAATAACATACAAATGCAAATTATTCCACTGGGGAAAAAAATGGGAGGGAGGGTAGTTCCCCAGCTAACATAAATAAAATTAATGGAGTCCTATTGGCATAACCATTTGAGAAGTCATCTTAAAGACCCATCTTAACATTGTTATGGGCAGAAAATTGCTGGTGTAATGTACCTTTCACATGGACTCCCTTTTGTGCAGTCAGTCAAGTCTGCTTTCTTCCCTAAGGCCAGTTTCTCGTACGTCTGCTCCCATTGTAGAGTATGCTGCTCCGCATGTAGTCCCCCTGCTTGCAATGCTAAGGACACAGTACAGAAATCAGTGGAATTGTAAAGGGAAGAACTACTTGGTATGAGTAACCTCAGAAGAAATGACTCTGGTACCTTAATGTAGCACTAATAGCTATAGCAACCACAAGTGATAAAGCCAATATGGCCACTGAGTGTACGTCTACACAGCAGGGCTGAAATCGAATTAAGCTGCGCAACTTGAGCTACGTCAATTGCATAGCAGAAACTGAAATAACTTAACTCCCCTTTTGGCGCGGTCTTCACAGCAGGAAGTCGAAGGAAGGACACTCTTCCTTTGACTTCCCTTACTCCTCGTAAAATGAGGGTTACAGGAGTTTGAGTAAGAAGTCCTCCAGCTTGCCATCATTTCAAAATAATGGCTTGCGGTGTAGACATGCTCTTTGTTATTTTGGAATGACTGATGTTATAACTGAGAGCTGGATTCTAATCCCATTGACGAGAAATGAAAGAAACAAGTTTTATATTATTGAAGTATTCTTGCAAGGGTGCACAAAGCAAACCACATAGTTAATTTCTATTTGTATTGCACTAGTGCCTGGAGGGAGGGAGGGATGGGTGGGTGTGTGTGGGTGCACGCTTCTGTGCTAGTTGTTGAAGTGGAGACACTGAATAAAAGGACTGTCCTTGCTCTTAAGAGCACTTTCAATGTGCAGTTCTAGAAACTAAAATAAAACTACCAAAATGCTGTCTCATGTTATCTGGAATCACAGGCATAAACCTGGAGTCCTATGACAGTGAGCAGGGAGGGATTGATAGAACAGCTATTCAGAGTGCTGTTGCATTCTTTTTAAAAACTAACTCTGATACCAGATATATCCCTTCCTTTTTCAAATATAAAAATAGAGCAATGGCTAGGACAGTTTCACTGTCTTCCCCCAGCGTGGAATATGGTTTCTCATGTGCTCTGTTTAAAAAATGGTGAGACTGCATGCAAATTGCAGACACAAATAGCATTCAGTAACAATTTAACTTGCTCGTAATGGACCAAAACAAGGCCGAAAGGAACCATAACTGCATTGTAAAGTCTAAAGAACCATTGTAATGCTGTACTATGTAAATGTCTCTTTATAGCCATTGTTAATGCACTGAGAGAGAAACTATTTAAGGGTCTACTTTATGGATTGCTGTGTCAGGTATGAAGTCCATTTTCTCACCTGGTGGTGGAAGAAAGCATGGTCATGGCACAGAGGACACCTGGGTGAATGTCCATCTACAATTTGTCTAAAGTCCAATCTGAGAGCTGTTTGTAAAAACTAAGCTGCTCTTACCTCCCTCCCCCCCATGTTTAATTTGTGCAAATGTGCTGACAGGCACACTGCAGGCGCATCCGCATGTGCCTCTCAGATTACCCTCCTCCAGCTCCCTAGGCCAGATATTGTCACTGCATGGTTCAGTACTTAGCTTGTTGTCAATGCTCATGGTCAATAACTGGTGGTGGTGGTCATGTGCTTAAAAGGACATTGCCTTCATATCTTCCAATGTCTTTCAATTGGAAAATCCCTCCCAGCCCTATTATAACCTTATTGACTTGGGAATGAAGAGCTCTTTCCCAAAACACATCCACATGTGCGAGTTAGAGACAACTTGAATGAGCAAAATCATGCTTTTGCATTCCTTCATTTTATAAGAATAGCATAATTTGTTAAATTCGGAAATACTCTGATAGCTTAATTGTGAGCATTCCTCAGTATAATTAATCACATCTCCAAACAATCATTTGGTTTCTGTAAGCAGAAGTGTATATTTTTCTCTCCTTGTTCGGTTGCCCTAACTAGCTTCCTATTGCCAACAGAGTTGCATAGATGTGGAGTCTATTGACTGCAATCCACTGTGCAGTTTAAACCAAGCGACATTTAAAGAGAAGGTAAGTGAGAGATTCTGGCCACTGTCAGTCACGGTTTGTTTTTTCCCCCCATCATAAGGGAGAGGGGAGAAAACACTGATTCTATCACAGCTGTGCCAAAAATTGGTAGTGTTTTGTTTTTGTGAAGTTAAACTTTGTTGGCTCTTCCATTGAATGACTGCCCCTGCCTTCAGCTTCTTTGAAACATATGGCCGTCTGTTGCTGGTTTTTTTTTTGGGGGGGGGACCTCGTAAGGCACAAGTTTTTCATAAATGACACTTCACAGAAGGACTAGAAGCTGAAGACTCTATGCTGAAACTCATACTAAAGCTCTAGAAGCTAGAAGGCCTAAATTCATAATTAAAATGCAGACACTTTTTGTTTCCAAACCATGCCAAATAATACTCTCCTTCCCCTCCCATATGGATGGAGAGCTACTGCTGCATAAATCCATTCCAATACTGATTATTTGACCAGTCTTTGACTGTAAGAGGCCTCATGTGAACAGCCATTAGCATCTACAACTTGAAGAAAACTAGGACCAGGTGGTACTTTTCCTTCCCTCCACACTATGGGATCTGGCTGGGTTGGGGGTGGGGGAGGAACTGCAGAGGAAAGCCTGTAAGAGCCATTGCAGAAGCTGTCAAAGCAGAGAGATTCAGTCAACTTTCTACAGACTTCACTTGGACTTTCTCTGCTTTTTGCTGACTAATTGGTAGCTGTTTTCCCCCCTTGCTCTAACCCTAACTATCTCCAGCTCAGCTTCATTCCCCTCTTCTCCCCTGTCCTGTCCTGCTTACCTCCTTCAGTGTCCCCTTCCTTTTTGCTTCACTTTCCAATTAGAATCCTAGAGCTGGAAGAGACCTCAGGAGGTCATCAAGTCCAACCCCCTGCCCAATTAGTTCGTCCCTTCCTAACTAAACTCACTAATCAGAAAACACAGCACCTGACATCTGCCACGGCTACATTGTCCATTCTGCTTCTGTCTTGTTACCCGTCTCACCTGGCTCCTGTGGGTCTTGTCTATTAGACTGTAAGCACTTCAGGGTGAGAATTGTCTAGCATTCTGTGCATACAGCACCTAGCAGAGCGGGATAATTCTTGTCTGATCTTAGGCCCTGTTGTAAGTACCATGAGGAATAATCTGCAGCACACTTTCCCTTCTCCAATTAGCACTTTTTCTGCTTCGAGCGATTTGGGGGCCGAGCAGCAGGTCAGTGCACGGAACTGCCCCAGACTCCCTCCTTGGGGTACTCATGCTGGTATTCCACACCTCTGCTAGGTAAGATCTGCTGGTTGCTCTTGTGGGTTTTGCTGCCTTTTGTGGCCTTGTCTTCTGAAGCACAGAAGTAGTTAATGGATGACCTAAAAGCCTCTTCTGTAATGTAACATGATGCTGAATATAACATAGCAAAGGATTAAAGAGTGGAAATTATTTTACCTCTCAAACGTTCCTATTCTCTGCTATAAGCATTTGTTGCCTGGTATGAATCTGGCCTGACTCCCTGTGGTGAAAACTTGCCACTCACTTTAATCGGTATAAATTATCCCAGTGGACAACTTAATATGCATTTGCCTGGCTGGCTCCACTGGCCTCTTGATTGAAAGAACAGCTGTGCTCTTTGAGGAGAGACTGTGAGGAATGACAACCGAAGAGTTCTTCTTACATGCAATACATGGCTGTACCATCAGTCTCCAGCGCTAATGATGAGGCAGTTTAGTTTAGGTTGTATGTGCCAGGTCTATGGCCTCAAAGAATGAGCTTTTAGCATCCCAGTTTTGCCCGCTTCATTTATCCCTAGCTTTAGCCATTTCCTGAGTCCAAGCCATGTTGTCCCTCAAGTGTGCTTCCATCTAGCCAGTAACCTTCTCATAATGCCACGATGTGCTGGCTCTGTAGAGATGTCACTTTATGCAGCATCTACAAATCCGCCCTTTCTTTTTTTTTTTTCCCTACTGGGCCCTGTTCTGTGGGACTATGGTTTTATTTCTGCAGTCTGCAAGTGCAGAAAGTTGCTTCCTACAGTATGTGCTGTGGCCTTGCCTACCACACATTCCCATCCTCACTGCTTCCCTTCAAAATGCCAGATCTGAAAGCTGTGTGAGGTAGAGACCCTGCGCTAGCATTGCAGTGTGGCAAATGACTCGCTTGCTCAATATGACTGTTAGGTCATTGGCCAATCCTGGATTGCTGGTCATGCTCCCCTTTAAAATGGACTCTACTAATTTACGTCCTCCCAATTGTAGTCTGCTTGTACTTTTCTATGGCTCCCTAAGCTTTTACTAAGCACCTATGAAAGCTGCAAGTGACTGAAACAGGGCAAATATATAGTCAGGTTTATTGTCTCTGAAGGTGTGGGCAGCCTGTGTTGATAGAAGAAAACCAAATCTACACAACTGACTATTAACTTTCAATGTTGACATGCCTCTCCTATTTCCAAGTCTGTGTCTTTGTTAACAGATGCTCTGGCCTTGGAAATACTACACCTGAATCGAGGAGTGCACACAAGTAGTGATCTCACATGTGTAGCAACCAGATCTCAATCTAGGCTTGAAAAAGAGGATCTGAAAAATGGGTCTACTCTGGACATGATGCTGGAGGAACACAAGTAAGAGTGGGGAGGAGGGAAGGAGATATACCACAGGGGGATGAGAGGAGATGTACCACAGACTCCAGCGGGGGGAGGGGAGAGGATGGAGACCGCCACTCTCCAGCTGTTCTATGATAGTTTCTGCTGTCTGTTAACCTTCAAGAATATGGTCTTGCTTAACCATACAGCATGGTTGTCAGAAAATGAGATGTTACCCTTATTTGGTTACTAATTGAGAATGAATTTGGTTTGACAGTGATAAGGAATACACAGAGTGCCTCATGTTCATTAATAAGTTTTTCTTACAATGCCTCTGTGAGGCACAGAGGTGGTATTCCCATTCTACAGGTGTAGGCAGATGGTAGCCTAAGTCACACAGGAAGCCGGTGGCTGATCTTGGCACTGAAAAGCAGATCAGACTAATATGCCATCCATTAGATCACCCTTCCTAACTGTGAAATTGATAATTTACAGGGTCATCCAACCACTACCAATGCATTTGTACTTGTGTTGGTATAACATGCTGTTCCTCTTAAAGCTGTCTCTGACTTCTCCCTTCTGGAAGTAAATTTTAAAAAGATTTCTGTGGCTGAAGAAGCCAAGCTTTGCATTGCCAACAGGTGCCTGCAAGTGTCCGCAGCTCCTGTGATTCTCTGTTACAATCTCTCAACATTACTTTCATGTTTCTGGTATGGCTGGGGAATTGGCAATGACTGCCACACAGATGCTGTGGTGAACTTAGACTTATTTCTATGTACCTGTAATGAAAGGAAAACATTGAAATGTGGTCTTGTTGCAATATGCAAATAAAATATGTGCTGCCAGGTGGAAGATACGCTCTGTTGGTAACCAGACTCTCACAGACTTTGTTGCTTCCTCTGCTACAATGGACACTCTATTTACTGAGGTTAGTGCTGTCGTGTTTTTTTTGTTTTTTGTTTTAATAGCAGTAATCTTCCCTTCAAATGTGGATTTGGGATCTTGTAGGCATTTACTTGTCACAGTGCACTGACTTTAAAATAGCAGCGATGAACCAGATCTTCTGTAAGTTGGCATTGCTCCATTGGGAAATTGACCTTTCTTTAGGGAGGCTATTGGGACAGTCCCCTTTGGTGTATCTCTTGTTAACTGCTGTGATTGGAATAAAACATTCCAGAAATGACCTGTGGTGTAAGAAGGGAGGCCAAAGTATAAAAGTATTTAAATCCCATACTCTAGCTCTGAGTCCTCATTATTCAATAGAGAACACTCCTGTTAAAGATTTCTCTCTTTCAGGAATGTCGTCTGTTGCCTAAAGAGTATGTATGTGGAGGGAATGGGGAGCAGACAAAACAAGAGAGACCCTACCAGGCATCTTTGTTTTAATAATCCAGTTAGATTGTCTGTCTATCTTCTGTGAAAACATGTGACTCTGATCTTCCAAACATCCATCTTTGCTCTAGAAACACGAAGTGGTTGACGCTTTACTCAGTTGGATGTTTCTCAGCTTTGTACCTAGCTTTCAATGGAATGGTGTTTGTCTGGTCAGCACTTGCAACTGAGGGTCACAAGGTCAAGTAAATGGTCCTCAGTCCCACAAAGTGACAAGTGCGACAGGCTGATGAACATTTGAATAAATCTTCAGTTCTCACCTCCATTGCTGGGAGCCAACTTTAGTTTCTGTTCTAGTCCACACCATAAATTGCCTAACTGTCATGTTAATTAGAAATAGGCATGAGCTGTGTCTATGGACTATCACAGAAAAGAGCTGTCACACTGCAAGAACTGTGTCCCTGGACTTCAGTGAAACTTGCACCTAGCCTGTCAAACTAATACAATGCCACTGCCTGCCCCCTCACCATCAAGTGAAAGTGCAACCAAATCTAGTCTAATAGTGAAACAATTTTTTTGCAACAAATGAGTTGGTGACCTCAGACCTGCCCAATATAGAGTGGCCCAGCCAGTTGCAATAATCCTTAGCCTCACGTGGTGGAGAAACAATAGTGACAGCGCTTCTCAGTCAGTTACCCCTTTTGGGGTTGAAGTATGTTTGTTGGTTGATGAGAGAGCCACAGGGTTTAGGGGATAGGTAAAGACATGCCTCGATTGTGAAACATGCTCTGTCTGTATATGGCCCATGGGGTGTGAGTTTGAGACCCCCTGTAGGGAGCTGCTGTGTGAATCTAAATCTATGCTAGGGGCTTGGTGGCTCTTTGGAGAGCTAGTGTTTAATTCCAAGGAAATGCATATCAGTTTGTTGGAAATTCTGTAAACTTTTATGCAAGAAGTACTTCAACAAAAATCTGTTACAATACAGGGTTATATCTGGATGGACCTTAAATAAGTTTCAAATATTTCCTCACAAGTGGGCCTAGAAGATAGAGGATATCTCTAATCTAATCTCGTGTGTTCTACATATAACAGACTGAATTTGGGTTTCTATTGCAAGTCATTACCTTGCTGCTCTAGAATTTCTGTGCATTTTTTTGTTAAACTTATTAAAGGCAGGTATCTTCCCTTAGAAATGGATTGGTGTACTAGAGAAGCCCTCCACCAATCTTTCAAAACATTTCTAACTCTTCAAGCCAGAGGCTTCAACAGTTCTTAATACCTTTAAAATCTTTAAATGTGAATGAAAAGTAGGGAATGAATTTGAGTTCTCCTTTGCTTTGGAAGGCTCGAATTTATTCCTGCATTATGCATGGGCATGTCTTTTGCTTTGGTCAGTCCTTCTTGATTGTTGAGAGAGTACTACATTCTAAATCCCCTAGGTTGTGGGATTTTTTCCATTCAGCGTACTGCTCCCATCCCCAGAGCAAAATAAAGCACTGTAGCTTCCTTAAGCCTGAGAGAGAATTCAAATAAGAATATAAATAGCATAGATTTGCATGCAGAAATGTATAGCAGACTGAGCTGAAATGCTGCTCACTGATCCTTACTTGAATGTTGGAGGGAGGAAGGAAACTGAACACACTGCTGCTGTTTGATAGCAGCTTTTTTTTTTTTAAAAGAGACTTTTTTTTTTTTTTTTGGTTGCCCACCTTAGGCATCTTGAAAGGGAAGTACTTTTCAGAATCAGCTGCATTTTGCGTCCTTTAAAAATCAGGTCCTCGAGTGAGACTGGAGGCCTAATCGCTTATCCCTTCAGAAAACTGTTAGCTGTACAGCCAGTTTGTCTGCTAAAAGCTCATGGAGTCTTTTTCTGTGGAAAGTTAATAAAGATTTCTCCTCACTTCACTGCTAGGTCCTTCTCTTATGAACATGCTCAGTTTTGTAACATGTACATATTGGTAACCCTCAGTTTTACATTTTCCTGAGAAACTATTCATACAGGAGGTTGTCAAAGGCATAGCTCCTATCTTTGTGCTCTGACTTACCCCTCCACTCCAAGTATTGCCTTTTAATATGTGCCCAGGTTGTTAGTCATTAAGCTCATTAAACTTCTCCTTCACCTTCATTTCATTAAGTGTTCATTATTTCTATGCTATAGCAGCAGGATTTTTCTATATTTATGTAGAGGGAGAACTACATCTCTGTAGAAGTGGGCTGGACTCCCGTTCACTTGGGAAATTAGACTTTTCCCTCATAAGCCTACGTCTTGTATGCTATAGATCCTTTTTGCTGGTACAGGATGCTGAAGGGGCACACTAGCTATTTACCTATTATATTATAGCTACTGTCCAAGACACTCTTAAAATTAAACTTGTTAAGAGCTGCTGTTCTCTTCCTCTTCCCCATGCACCATGAAAATCACTCTTAACAAGACAGCCTGTTGTATACGTACTATAAAAAAAAAAAATCTGGTGGGATGCATGATGTTACCCAGAGTGATGTGGAGATCCAGTTTAATAGTGTTGTTAGTCTTGGTCACATTCACTTTAAAGCAAATGTCTGACCTAGACACCCAGAGATGAGCAACAATAAAAGGCCATGCAAACCCCCTAAAATTCCAAATTAACTACTGATCGTTGGGATTTAAAAGTATTCTTGTAGAATTAAATGCTAAACTAAGGTAGCTGTAAAATATATTTGCTTTGGTGGTGGTGGTGGCGGTGGTCCAAGGAACTGACTTCTTAAAATGAAGTTTGTGTGTCAGTCAAGTGCTTCAGGTTTGGGACCAGACCAGACTAGTCTGTCACCCAAGTGCAACAAAGTAAACTGAGAATAATTTGGCCCTTAATGATGAAACACAGTGTTTTGGGATTTTTTTTTTTATATTGGTCACTGAAGCTACTGTGAAAAAGCAAGTGCCTTTCTGCTCTAAGATCTGCTGGACTCTTGGTTGTGGTATAGTGCTGCTATCAGTAAGAATTAAAAAATGGAGGCTTGAATGTAAATGTTCATTAACAGCATAGAATACAACCCAAGCAAAATGCTTTTATGATCATTGTCACGCTCTTAGAAGCAACACCGCTGCAGCTCAGCTTTTTCTAACATTTTCTAAATCTCTGGAAGGGATTATGGGAAGCAAGGCAGTGAAAGTGGTGGATGGAACAAATGGCAGGAAAAACCAAGTGGCTTTGTTAAATTGTCACTTATCTCTTCTAAAGTGAACTGACACACAGTGGTAGGAAGTAGGAAAAATCTGGCATGGTGCCATTTCTTTGAAGCAACACACTTTTATTCCCAAGACCTTCACACCTTGATTTTAAAGTCAGGATTATGGGCTGAGGGGGAGGGTTGTAACAAATACAGATGTGAACAGATTTCCCCCCAAATTACTACTACTACTACTACTACAAAAACATCATTACCCCCCAGTAGTAACAGTATTAAAACACACTATACATCTGGAGTTGGTGGCGGGGGGGAGATGCAAACTTTTTAAAATAACCATATGTTTACTGAAATGAACATATTTCCACTAGTTCTAGATGCATCTAAAAGAATTTGATTCTGATCTGACAAATATTATAAACTAGAAAACTTACCTGGTGTTGCACATGTCCTGCAGGGCAGGGGGCTGTCTGTGTGTGCGTGAGGGAGTTGAGTCATGGCAGGTAGTCATGGCAGGTAGTATGTGGGGAGTGTGTGCACAAGTCAGGGTGGGAGTCTGGGGGAGGGGGTGGGCGGGCTCACTGGGACCACCCAAGGCAGCGAGGACAGCACTGCATCTGCCAGCATCTTTGGGGATGGAGTGAGGATTGTGGTGCCTGACCCACAGTACCCAGCCCTGGCTCCTCCTGAGTGAAGGGGCCAATGTGGTTCCTGGTCCTGGCAGCCAGTGGGGCTTCTGCAAGGGGGCAAGACTGAGGCTACACTGGCCGGTCCTGGAGGGTGCTCCCAGTGGCACACTGCTATCTTTCTCTGCCCCTCCCCCTATGATCTGGCACTGCAGCAGAGGGCTGGAGAGGAGAGGTTTGGGGCAGAGGGACCACTATACCAATGGCTGGCAATATGGAGAGCCTGGTCACTCTTTTCCTGGTGCGGCTCTCCCTCCCCTCCCCCGCCCCTGTGGTCATTGTGGTGTATAAATGTCCCTCCTATCAGACCCCCCTTGTTATGGAAAACAATCTGATTTCAGACATACCCCATTTTCCTGGCACAACCAAACCCGGACCTTGCTTTGAGTAAGAGGAAGCTGTATGTGGAATCTGGTGGTCCTAGCTTTTTACCATTTAGGAGGAGTTCTTGAACAGACACAAACTTTCAAGTATAGAGTAGATTTGCTTCACAAAAGCAGTGGTGTGCTATTCCAAGTTTAAATGCTAAAACTCTTTAACATTTCTTTTGTTAAGGATAGTGATGCTTGTCCTTTGACATCGGATAACACAGGCTTGTCCAGGTCAGTTTCTGTGGATGCATTTAATTCTTAAATACATTTACCCAGGCCCAACAGACCATGAGTGTCTGAAAGTATTTTTCTGTTTTGGCAGTGAACCTTCAACATCATCCCAAGAAGAAGCTATTACATCCTCTTCGGAGAGCCTCTTGTCAACTGGTAAATCCTTAAATGAAAGCGCACTGATCTGTGCATTTGTTTGAGAGGTCAACTAAGATGCCCTTGAGTATATGCAGCAATTGAGGAGTAATGTGCATGCCTTCTCTTGCTGCCTATTGCAGAATTGCTTCCTGGGGAGACACACTTGTGTGAGGCTTCTTGGGCAAAAGATGAAGACACACCAGCCACTTTAGCCGTGAAGAAACCGGATGATAAGGATCTGGATGATGATGTATCAGGTATTGTAATGGGGAAACTGCTTGCTTCCAACCTATCTCTTTGAAGTGAGGAAGTTGAGTAAGAGTTTTGCACAAATGTCGAAGTAGACAATATGTGGAGAATAATAACTTTTGGCCTGCAGCTGCTTCCAGATCTCACTGGGACTCTGCCCAAGTGGAGGCCGTTGCCAGGGCAGAGGCCATTGCAGGATTAGGGTTTAAGACGCTACAAGAAAGGGCACCAAGAATGAATTGGTCAAAGTGATTTCCAGCGCTGGCCGGAGAGGAGTTGGGCCCTGCTCACAAGCATTACACATCCTGCAGCTCTTCAGAATCTCTTTCATTTGTTCAAAATTGTAAAGTATTGTCACATGATTAATGTAAGGGAATCTGTCAATCCGCTGCCAAACCTGAGGAGAATGGGGTTGGGGAAGGGGACAGTGCATGAAGGGTTCAGACATTTCCCCCTGACCACGTCTTTTCAAAAATCTTTCTTTATCTGACCATAGATTTTAATAGAGCTGAAGGAGAAGTGAATTCTCGTTAAAGCAGGTCAAGCAGCATTTGTCTCCCCTCTTCCCAAATGTATTTCCTTCACTTTATAAAACAGAAAGTCCTACTTTTCTCTGAGTGCATGCAACCCTAAATTAAGGAAAATTGTGTGTATGCAGACCATATGCTTAATAAAAGCGGAGTTAGAGTACACGGCACAGAATAGCAGAGTGTGTTAAATATTATTTGTAATTTGAAAAGCTTGTCTAGAATATGCTAATTTAGTTGGTAATTAACTCCAGAGATATCCTTTTTCTGAATGTTCATCTTCCTTTGGACTGGGTTCTGAAGTCTAAGTCTAGAGTTCAGGCATTTGTTTCTTCATGAGTATTCTTTCTAATTACCTTCATAAATGTATGTGTTTTTTTTTTTTTTTTTTTTGTGGGGGGGAGGAGGAGGAGAAGAAAGAGACTAGCTTGGCTTCAGAAAGTAGCACTGCTATAAAGTTCACTTGGCTGGCTTATCAATGACTCATAGGAGAGATGACACACCATTTAAAGCATTGAGCCAGTGTGAGGTAGGACAGTAGAGCTGTGCTCATAGCATAGCTCCTACGAGTGCTAGTTGAAATCTCAATATCCAGTTTGTCTTGCATCTTACCATTGTACCAGGCTGCCAGTACTCCACTTGTGTCTAAGGCATCCCTAGACTACTTAAACAGAATGTCTTTCCAATATGAATAGAGACCGAAGGTTATTGGTGGATCACTCCTGTTGCTTTCAATAGCGCCTAAAACCTATCTAGCGGTAAAACCTATCTAGTTGAAAGAATAAGGTAGGATTTGTAAGATTGACTTGTTTTGGTGACTGGTTTGTTACTAGTGTGTGTTCAGTGTAAAAGAGAAAATTCCGAAAGTCAACACTATTGGCTGTTGTCTCTCTGGTTTGTATTAAAAGACTGGTGTGTTGTTAATTTGGCTAAGAGATGCACTGCGGCCAGAGTTGCTGCTGCAGGAGAAACTAACTTTTGGAATTGCATAATCTTTTGCGTGCGTGGCTATGCAAACTTAGTATTGCATTAGGTCTAGCTTCCTGAATCCTATTTGAATGTTTGAAAATTCAGCAGCCTCACCCCAGAGGCATGTAACATCTTAAAAGCTAGAGATGATTGGTGGTGGCACTTACAGTGGTGTATGATGTTTAGACTGGAATTCGTTTGCTGGCCTCACTAGTTTGTTGCCCTTTGACCTGCAGCTCTCAGTCCTTGGAGTTCAATAGTCTGCCCTCACTGCTAAGTTTATATGTTCTAGCACTACAGCTTACTTCAGACACCAAAGTGCCTACTGGACAAGGGTGCAGGGTCTTCAGACACTCTAGCTTGTCAAAGAAAGACCTAGCAAATGTGTTGTAACATGAAGGAACATTCAAGCTTGTATAACGAGGAGTCCTGTAGCACCTTAGAGACTAACAGCTATATAGAGTGTCATGAGCAAACCCCGCTCCCTTAGGCCTTTAAGTGACAGTAACAGAATCATATCGGTCATGCTTCCTCCCACACATCCTGGAATGCTAAGCAGAGCACCAATTTCCAACACCCTTTAGCCTCCTTCATGGGAGATCAGAAATAAGTCTGTGCTCTTATAACCCTAAACTGATTTTTTTCCACTTTAGAGCCCTCCTGCCCCATCCCCCGACACACACACACACACAGACACACACACACAATCAAATAGTCAAAGCATAGCAAGCTTCAGCCCAAAGAAGCTGTTTTGGCAAACTGAATGTATAGGAGCTGTCTTGAAACCTCAAAGCAGCTGCAACCAGCATGACTGATCAATACAAAGCTGTAGCCTTTTGGGTTGTGATGCTTTGATTCAAGAAATGGCCCTACCGGTGCTGCCTCTATTCTATGACACTCTGTGCCACTGGTTTTTAAAGGCCTCTTTCTTTGTTGTATTTGCTTGTGGGAATGCCTGCAAGAGGCATTATGGGAGAGCAGTGGTGGTTTCTGCTTTAGAAATCTAGTTAATGGGTAACATTTGTTCATCTTTGAAATCTTTACATCCATTTTTTTCTGGCATCTCTAGGTACTGATCTGACTAACAAAAGGGATTTTTGCCCCATCATGGAACATCATAAAACTACACCTGACACAGAACTAAAGCTAGAGCCGGTAAGAGCTTGGCTAGCTTGCTAAAGTTCTAGGAATGCTGCCAGGTGCAGCCCATTCTCCTTTGCCATAAGAGAAGGCAGGGAATGCTGAAGTGACGATTGGGGTGACCAGCAGAACAATGCTAGAGAAACAGGTGGCTCAGCATGCCCAAGCCCCAACTCTCCCCGGGCTAAGAATCCTAGTAAGAATAAAAGGGGTAAACACCACTGGGTTTGGGCTCCCTGCCCACATACTGCACCACTAGTCCTTTGGCCGGTGTCACTTGGATGCCAAGGCAGCTATGCTGATTCACGTGCACTGAGGCTCCAGTCCAGTGATTCCCTTCATGGGTTCAGGCCAGATGAGACAAGGTTGGGTTTGGGTCCCCCCTCTTCATTCTGGGCTACTGGTAAATTCTCTCCATCTCCTAATATAGCATAGTAACTAGAATGCGTAACAAGTTCTAGATAATGGCACTTCATGAGTTGTTTCCAAGGTAACTTGGGCTTTCATTGGAGAAGGCTCAACTGCTCTACGGAGGGGAAGTTCTGTACGTGAGGGTGGCACCCGTAGCAGCAGTATAAAGTATCTAATTAGTCCTACCGTGGGTGAATGGGAACTAGAGTACCTCCATCCTAGCTGGGCATCTTGTAAGGTACTTGTGGCCGTTCACTTTGTATAATTACTCTCTTAAACACATTTAGGAGATCAATGGGGAAATGAAAGCTTCTAAACAGCAGACTGGACAAGGGTCTGCTATAGTTTCTGATAAAGGTAAGGTGCCCTCATTGAAATCCACTTCATGTAACATGTTAATGAGCATGCTTGGGTAGTGTTCCAGTAGAACACTTTGATCTTAAACCTCAGAACATGTATGTTCTTAGCCCTAATTTCTGTGTGTTTGCTGGACAACCAAACTGTTGCTTGTATATGGCATAGATCATCTTATCACTTAACTAAGATGGAGGAAAAACTGAAGTGTGTGTATGTGTGTAATGCAACAAACCCTCTGAAACCGGATGAGGACACATTTTTTTCAGTGTAAGAAAATAAAATTGTAACTTTCAGCTGGGTGTGAAGATAAGCAGGTCATGTTGGTAACAGGAATGATAGTGCACTCTGATACCGTGGTGACAGGAACATCCTAGCTTCCTACCAGGGTTCGGGCAACTGCCAACACGCTGGATTAATGTTAGTATAAAGACATGATGAATTGCACATCGTGGGTTTTGGTGGGTTTTTTCACCTTGTATGATTTCTTCCCCATGTGTGTTGTGGTGGTGCTTTTTGGGGGGGGGGGGGGGGGGGGGTTGGGGTTTTTTTTGGTTTTTTGTTATGTTAAACTTTAAAGTGTTTACCCTACAAGCTGTTACCCTACAAAAACATGCTCTTCAATCACCTCCTGCCAGCACTGGTCTAATCCAGCTATATTGTCCATTGAACAGGAAGGACTTTAAGGGGTATCAAAATGGGCCAAGTTTTTACTATACCCAATGATATCCTAATGCTAGCTATGATACTTGCCGTCTCTATTCCAGTAGGAATATTAAGCAGCTTCTGACACCACCCAAGCCTTTGTTCGAGTTCAAAGAATTTAAAAGCTGTCTGGCTTTCCTTTTTAGAGGTGCTTTACTTCTAGCCAGGGCTGTTCCCATGTGCTGACTCTTACTGAACTATTAATAATGAATCTTGGATGGCTTCTACAATGCTAATCATCTTGAAGTAGAGGGTTAAGGGAAGGAGGTTGCAGTGAGGACCAAAACCAAACATCCAGCTACTACAAACTCAGATCTGGACATTGAGGTTCAGGCCGCAAACTGATCAACAAGGAAGCCTCTTTGGGGGCTTGGATAATGGAAGGTGTTGTTAACAAACTGCCTTGCTGAATTTTAACTGAGTTCTAATGCGCACTGATTCTATTTCTGTTTCCAGACAATAGTTAAAGAATCGTAATCCAATTTTTCCCCTCTTCTGACTGAACTTTTAAGTCTTTCATAAACTTTAAGGGGAGTTTATTCCTCAAACTAACAACTAAAATTTTTGTTTTGTCTCTAATTATCAGTGGGAGAAGAATTCCCTGTGACTGGCCTTAAAATGACTAAAACCAAACAAAATGACAAGTATGTATCTCGTGTAATCAGATACCCACTTGCATTAACTTAACATTATGTACTGCTTATGTAGCTATTCATTTTCCTCCTACAGCATTTCTTCTAACGAAAAAGAGGTGGAGGTGAGTCTTGACTACTCCATATTCTGAAATATTTCAGAATGAAGAACTTTTTTCCCTAAAGGTCCTTTCTGAAATTCAGGTAAAGCATTTTTCAAGGTAGTTACACAGCAGGGCTAACGCCAAAATAAGCTAAGCAACTTGAGGTACATCAATTGCGAAGCTTAAATTGAAATAGTGCCAAAAGCCAAAATAAGCTGTCTACACAGCAGAGAGTCCAAGAAAGGGCACTCCTTCCTCCAGCTTCCTTTACTCTTCATAAAATAAGGGTTACAGGAGTCTGAGTAAGAAGTCCTCGAGCTCGACGTTATTCTGACGTTGTCGAAGTTACTGCTTGTAGTGTAGACGTGGACTATGTTCTTTTGGAATAATGTCAGTTATTTAAAAATAACACTGCTGTGTAGACGTACCCTAAATGGGCATTACATACACAAATGAGGCAGCTCAAATGACCGTTCTCCCTTCCCTGAATGTAACAAACTCCCATGTAATACTTGGCGTGGGTAAATATTTCCATGCCAGTAGTGTTGATCAGACTTTTATGTACAACTGAAGCCCCCATGTCATTCAGAGAATGAAGCTGAAATCTGCTGATCAGAAAATGCTCATTTGATAGCAGAGGAAGAAGGCTATAAACATGAATACACTGCTATACATAAAATCTTGGGTTTGAATTTTCTCTACGGGTGTCATTGTGTGTGGGGAGGGAGAGTTTTGGCCTGGGTACAAGCTTCAACCCAACAGAATATGCTACCAAAATTGTTGTTGCCTTCCCCAAACAGGATGAACTGATGTGGACGTGGGGGAAGAATTTGCCAACAGAATAGCTATGAACTCCCTAACAATAGATATGAGAAGACTTGCAAAATGGGGGAGGGGTTAATTCAAAGCCTCTTGAGTCGGGTTCAGAACTGGCGGCATCTCCTATGATGACTCCAGTCATTCCTAGCTTTGCAATCTCTTAGGTGACTGTTTTGAACAGACTTCTGTGTTGTCTGCTCCATCATGATTTTTTTTTCTCTCTTCCCCCTATAATAGGCGGAGTTTCTCAGATTGTCTCTGGGCTTTAAATGCGACTTGTTCACCTTGGATAAGCGAGTGAGGCTTGAAGAAAGGTCCCGAGACTTGGCTGAAGAAAACTTGAAAAAGGAGATTGTGAATGGGATGAAACTGCTGGAGGTTAGCCGTGAATGAGATTGGAAAAAGGGAGGAACAATCCATAGCTTGACAATCCACTTAATCTTAGAAATAGGGATCTGAAAGAAACCTAAAGAGGTCTTCAAGTCCAAGAAGCAGGACCAAGTACCCCTAAGCTGTCCCTGATAGGTGCCTGCTTAACCTGTTCTTAAAAACCTCCAGTGATGATGATGATGATGATCCCACAAGTTTCCTTGGAAGCCTTTTCCATGTTTAACTGTCCTTAAGTGTTGCCTAGTGGCTAACCTACATTTTTCTTGCTGCAAATGAAGCTTATTACTACATGTCCTTTCAGGGTAGGACATGGAGAATAATTGATCAGGCCTCTTCATAATAGCCTGTCACTTTTCAAATACACTTATTTGGCTTCTCTTTCCCCTTAGTCTCTTTTGAAAAATGACTAAATATGGCCAATCTTTGCATTTTTCCCTAAATAGCGCAAGTTTTTCTTAACCCTTTTCTTAACACTTCTGTTGCTTTCCTCTGGGGCCTCTTCAGTGTGTCTATCTTTCCTAAATTGCAGTGCCTAGGACTGGACACAACTACTCTTGAGGCCTTACCAATGCTGAGCAGAGTGGGACAATTGAGTCCCTTGCTATACATAAACATCCCAGTTAATATAGCCCAGAATGTTAGGGTGTGTGTGTGTGTTTTGTGTTGCTTTGTGTGGGTGTGGTTTTTTTTGCAACAGCATCACATGGTTGCCAATTTAAATTTGTGCTAAGCAAATTGCGTATCTTATTTTGATTTTATTTCAAAATAGGTTATTTTGAAATTCGGCATGTCTACATGGTTCCAAATTTCAAAATAAAGCACTATTTCAAGACATCCCTTATTCCTCATGAAACAAGGCTTACAGGAATACTGAAATAGCGCGTCCATCATTTCAAAAATTATTTTGAAATAGTGGACATGTTCCTTGGACGTGGGACCTGAGGTATCCCAAAATAGCCTTGCAGTCTAGACGTACCCTCTCAAGGGTAATGTTTTATGAATGTGTCCTGAATTTCATGCTGTCTTCTGACCAGTTTTCCTATTTGTCCGGGTCACTTTGAATTTTGATCCTGTTCTCCCAAATTACTTGCGACCCCTCTCCAGCGTGGTGTTATCCACAGACTTTACCATTCACTCCCTTGTAACTAATAAAAATATGTATTGCATCCTCCCAGTTTAAATGCAAACCAGAACTACTGAATGCAGCCTTTTATCCACTTGCACACCCAGCTTACAGTAACTTCATGCAGGCTGTGGTACACTAGAGAGCTTTCATCACCATTGTAAACTCTCTAAGGTCTCAGGTCTATGCTGACGGAGGAGAGCTCTTCCATTAATCCAACCCCAATAGTGGCAGTATCCTAGGTTGGTGTAACTTGTTACACCAACCTAAGTAGGAGTGTACACAAAGTCTTTAGCTGGAATTTTATATGATCAAATCCAAAATAGAAATTCTAGTCAAATGTTTCTGTTCAGCGTTGAGGTTCTGACTAATTTTTTTTAAAATGTCTCTTACACACATGAACGAGCTTTTCATATAGTAACAACTAGGAAATTCTATTGTTCCGAGAGCTCTCATGATGAGCAGATAAAACCATAAGGTAAATGTCACAGTTACAGTGCTTATCTAATGTCAATCAGCATAATTCCTTTGTTTTTTCCAGTGGTGCTGTATTTAGTTACGGCAACTGAGTATCTAGCCCTAGTGTATTTGCTTATGCAAACAGGTATGTCCAAGCAGAATCCCATTTAAGTGTGATCACTCCCTTTGAGTTAAGTCACCCCACAAGCTTCTAGAATGGCATCACACATATTTACTAATAATCTGCATGGTTGCTTCTCCCTCTTCCCCCCCCCCCCCCCCCACTGCTTCTTTCTGATAAAGCAAGCACAGGAGATCATTAAGAAGCTGCAGAAAAGCTTGCAGTCCCTTAGTCAGTATGCTGCCAGAGTTGCTAGTAGAGCAGAGATGTTGGGAGCCATTAACCAGGTAATCTGATTCAATTACTACTCTTATATAAAAGTAAGGAAGCTTTGAGTCAGAGCTGCTTAAAAGATTCCACTTGTTTGTAACTAACTTAAATTGTGTGCTGTATAAAATATATTAGAACAATACTCTTAAAGCATGTGGGTGTTCTTTACACCCTATTCATGGACATATAAAGGTCAGAGAAAAGGAAGCTCCTGTACTGAAGACATGAGGTGAGATCATGGACAAGAGTGTTGTTGTGGTGCAAATGGATATGAAGAGTCGTAATTTAGAATATTACATTCTAAGCTTTCACTTAGTTGCTTGGAATTGGCTTTTACTCCAAGCACAATTTCATGCTCTGAAGAGCTAACTATTTTGACTTAGTATTGCATTTACTTTGCTAGGAGAGCCGGGTCAGTAAGGCTGTAGAAGTGATGATTCAACATGTGGAAAACTTGAAACGCATGTATACAAAAGAACATGCAGAACTTGAGGAGTTAAAACAGGTCCTGCTCCAAAATGAAAGATGCTTTAGCTCTTTTGGGGATCAAGGTAATTGCTAAATCTCAGCATATTTTCTTTTCATTTTCTAAATTATTGTAATCAGTTTAGCCCTTTCATGTGTATTTATAAATGCTGTGTTACCCCCTTAGATGGGAAGTGCTACATAAATGTTCTCTCTCGTGAGAGAGTTTTGTGATACTGAACTGTTAATGTATAGCCACACACAAGCATATTGCTTGTCCTCGCTTTTCTGATTATTGGAAATATTTAAGAGCAACTATAGCTTCAGACTTGTAGGCATCTACACTTTCACCTTTGGAGGAGTAGGCCTCTTTTGAAGGTACTGTAGGATGATGGACTCCAATTTCGTAGGCAGTAACTTATAAATTGGATACTCATTTTAATGTACATATGGCCAGTCTTCAGAGGCCTGAGGTTGAGAAGCTCCAAATTCTCCAGACTTCAGTGGAACTTGGAGGTGCTCGATGCATTGAAAAGTCAAACACATTTCTTTAAAATTAAGAGATCCTAGTCTTAGTGGCACAATGCAGAAATCCTTGCAGAAGCTCTTTGGCCAAGAAGGAAGGAGTAAAAAGTGGCACCCAGGAGTGCTCCATCCTTCAAGATCAAAGATTTAACTTGGTAAGGGTAACAGCTCTTAACCAGGCATTGGTAATGAGACCAGCAGAAGCGATCTCGTCTGTGTAGGGCAGGCAGTAATGTGAAGTGTTGGCTGCCTCCGCTAGTTTTGAGCGAATGGATACAAGAGTAGAAATTTCCAGTATGTATTGATAACTTTTAAAATGTCTCTTTAGAGAGACCCAATGGATGGGAGATCACCTCACTTGCCTTAGTCAGGGCTGCTGATACACTTTGCCGGGCCCTCGGCAAGATGGAAAGGGCCGGCTCCAGGGATGTGTCAGGGGCAGGGCATGACTGGAGGCTAGCTTCCTCCAGCCTTTCAGCACTGTCAAGGCTGTGGTGACTTTTTTTTTTTTTAAGGGCTCTGGCCATTGCTGCTGTAGTGGTGTCAGTGGCCAAGAGGCCCGAGCTCTCTTTAACTCACTGGGCCCCAAGGCAGCTGCCCCCTTTGCCTCCCTACCCACCTCATTGCTGGGCCTGCTTATAGCCATGTTGGTCCCAGAATATTAGACTTCCAACAACATTGATTTCTTGTTGACACTTGCTGCTTGGGTCTCTCCTGCACCCCCATCGATGTGCTTTAAATAGAACCCACAGATGGTCAGACCCCTTGGCTCTCTTCCTCCATGACAATCTTTAAAATCTACTTACAATACCATTCCTTCTTTACAGATGAATCTGCAAATAAAAAGCTTCCAAGTTCTCTCAATTTCAAGGTACTAATACCACAGAATATTTTTTGGGGGGGAGGTACACAAAGTTGTGTGTCTTGTACAGGGACTCCACTGGTGCTGGACATCCTCCTGAAATCTGTATCTGTTGGTCTCTCTAACTCCTAAACAAAAAAGCAAACTAACTTGATCCGATACATAACAGGTTAGATCAGAGGTCCCCCTGGGGCTTTCACCTGAAGTGTTCATCATACCACTGAGCCCACCTACCTGCCCTCTGGGGCACCCCAACACCTGACCTGCTGGACTAGAAGCTCTGAGCTCCTTCAGCCAAGGCAGAGTTGGGATGACAGCTTCCCAGCAGAGCAATACAGACACTGAACCAACTTAGTTCCAGGAGAACTCAGCCATGGGGGCTTGATAGCACCCAGGAACACCACCCTCAAAAGGGACCAAAACTCCAAATAAGTCTGTCTTTGTGTAAAAGTTTTACATACACACAGAGAGCCTTCTGAACCCTATCAACGAAAGGGAGAGATGCACAGCGGTGGCTCTCCCCACTTTTGTTTATTAGCCAGTATAAAAAGTAGGATTTAAGTGAAAACCTAAATCAAAGGAAATTACTAAGCCAAAATGGTACACTAAAACTTCTTACATGCAAATTCTTACCCTAACAACAGTAGTTTCTGTAACGTTTCACAAGTGAAGCAGCCTTCTAGCTTGAGCCTGATCCTTTCCCCTGTTCAGTCTTAGGTGTCTCCAGTAGGCATCTTGATAGGTGGGGGGAGGTGGAGGAATATCTCCAGGAGTCTAGCAACAACCCTATGGTTTGGTTTGCCACCTTTTTATCCCCTTTGCCCAAGGAAGGAATGCTTTGTGTTCAATTCGAACTTTTCTCACTTGGAGTGGAAAAGTACAAGATGAAAAATAGGTTCCAGCATCAGGTGACCTGGCCACATGTCTTGGCAGGACCAACCACAATCCAGGCTTACAGGAAATACAAGGCTATTCAGAGGTGGTTGGTGTGAGTACCAAACATGGTTTCTGGAGTATCATTAATAACCCTCATTAGCACATCTAGATTTTGACCAGATTGACAGTTCATTATACAAGAACAACATGCACAGAAATAGCAGATTGTCACATGCTGCATTTTGCTTAAAACATCTTTGAATTATGCATATTCATATCCATAAGTCAATTTTCATAATATATGGGGGAGAGGGGGCATGACAAGACATGCTAACTAACATTTCAATGGAAAAACTTAAAGGTATCAATGTGCTTCTGTAAGTGGGTCCAAAATCTCCCATGGAGATTGCTCAAGAACTATTGCTCTCATGAGGTCCTTGATAATGAAAACTTGAACATACAGAGTCAAGAGATACCTAAAAGCAGAGTGGCAAGTGAGCAATAGAATCCCTAGTTGGTGTTTTTTAGTAGGTTAACTTAGACATCTTTGAATTTCAGAATGTGCTACAGCAGATACACATGCATGTTTCTAATCTGGAAAATAACCTGCATATAAATGTACAATTCCTTTTTTAAAAACTTAAAGTACTACACCTGGGTTATTACTGGGTATTGCTTTAGTGTGTTTAGTAAACATCAGCTTTTATAAATATATGCATCCATTAACATGCCTAAAACTAGTGGTTAATTTAGCCAATGCATGTTAGTTACAATAGCTCTTCTTTGTGTAGCCACAATCATCCCTACGAAGAGTCAGTATTGCAGCAGTGCCAAGGAATACTGGAAATGCTGGTTTTAGTTTGCAGCTGGTAAGTAACCGCTGTCAAGTGGTGACTATTTTTCGTTCTCAAACTAGTCAGGTTTACTGCATTTGCATTTTTATCTTTTTTTATAGGCCCAGTTGCATGGAACAGATGGAAAAGAAAGAAGTGACAAAAATAGACGGTCAAGCAGTTGGTAAGGCTACTGGAGCTTTGTTTTAAAAACAGGCCTTAATTTTTTTTCTACTTGGGTTTACTACAGCCATCATGCTCTACTGGAGAAGCTTATGAAGCATCTTTTGGAAGTGATGCTATAGATACCTGAGTATAAGCCTTAAAGTTCAGCTTTTACAGCCAAACCTGAGTGTCCCCACAAGTGATCTGATCTTCAAATTCAAGAGGTTCAGAGCTCACATGTCCTTCAAATTCTCATGTCCTTGCAGTTGGAAAATCAGGTGCCTTCTACTTTGCTTAAATATTAATCTGGGAGTCAAACTTGAAAAATATTGAACAAAATCTTCATAGCCTACTGTAACACAAATGAGCATGCTCGTTTATCTCTCTTGAGCTGAAATTATTTTCTTCAGCTAAAGTGCTCAGATCACAGTACTTATTTTCATGTATTTACATTTTGGCAGGGGTCGACTGGGATCAAAACAACATGAGAAGCGTCCTTCATTGCAGCGATTCATTAGCACATATTCCTGGACAGAATCTGAGGAAGAACAGTTTGAAACAAAGTAGGTGTCGATTATTTAATCTCCAAGGTTTTAAGGTGGGCTTGCTTCCTGTCCTTGACCCCTTGTTGCATGTCGAAGCTGTTATAAACTGGCTTACTCTGTTTATATAAATGTCTACCTAATGTGTGTTGGTGAATGCTTCTCAGGAATGTTAAGTTCTAATGCTTGCTTGCTTGCAGAACCAAACAGGCAGAACCACCAATTGAAGAAATACGAGAAGAGAAAGCAAAGAAGCTAAGTGTTACTGAAAGGGGGAAAAATCCATCAAAATGGAGTCTAGGATCAGCGTAAGTTTCTCAAGTGCAAATATAAATTGCTGTAAGGGGAAGTGGTGGGCAGGCAGAGGACATATGAAGCAGAGTGATAATATTGACTTTATCGGTGATATCAGCCTCCAAAGTAGGCAGATTACTTCAATTATTAAGTTAAAGTTCTGTTTTTGGTACTAATCAAGAAGAGAACAACTGCTCTTTACTAATCTCAGAAATTCATCTCAAGATGTGATCCACTGTGGTGCACTACCCCTTTCAAAATGAAAGGCTAGGTCAGGGCCTGTGGCCCATTTATTTGTGGCCCATGTGTGGGAGTTAAAACAAAGTAGTCAATATAATGGTCTTCCATTGATATGCGTTTTAGTAGTTAAATTCCTAGGCTATCATTTCTCATTAAAAGTGCTGTCATATGGGTGGAAATCGGGTAAATATTGCATTTTATTTCTATCAGCAGAACTGACTTAAATGGGGCCTGTGTTGTGTAGTCTTGCCTTAATCTTTCTATTCATGCCTGTCAGTGTGTGAGAAGCTATTTGCATATATATTTGCAACCACACTTAAGTTGTGGCCCTCAGCATGCGTGTGAGTATCATTGTGGCCCCCGGGGCTTCCAAAGTTGAGTAGCCCTGGTCTAGGTATTGTGGTTGGCAGGGCCATCTGGCCTTTGTAAGGGTATGTCTACACAGCAACACTATTTCAAAATAACTAGGTCCACATCTACACAGCAGGCTGTTCTTTGGAAATAGTGTCAAAATACTGTCAAGCTGGGGGACTTCTTACTCTGACTCCTGTAACCCTCATTGTACGAGGAGGAAGAGTGCTCTATTTTGAAATAAGTGCTGTGTAAATGCTCCCAATTTGAAAATAAGCTACGCACTTGATGTAGCTCAATTTGCATAGCTTATTTCGAGGTAAGCCCTCCTGTGTAGACACTCCCTAAATGTCCAATGACTTTCTCTGTACAATATATATATTACACGTTCTCACTAAAAAAGCTAACATTTTACAATGCCTACTAGGAGATTTAGCCCCACACTTTCCATTAATGTTAAGAAATCCCTTATTCAGAGTTTGTATAGCACACAAACTAATGTTTGTGTTCAAAGCTAAAGTGGCACCATTTAGAGCCTGCATTCTAAACCCAGACTATAACACCTCTTAGCTGGCTATTAATGAAGGCAAGTTTTGCCATTGTACTGTGTAACTAAATGTTCTGGATTACAGTCCATATATTTAAATGTGAGAGAAAAGCATGTCTGTCCTATGTGTGTGTCGTCTTCACAGCTGCAACAGGATGTCGTCATGGACCTCTCATCTGAAGACTTCCTTCTCCAAAGCTAATAAAACTCTCTGGATTTCTCTTACCATCATCGTACTACTTGCTGCACTCACAAGCTTCCTCACAGGCCTGTCCCTCCAAAGACCTGCAGATGCTGCTCCTGTGGGAACTGGGGATTCCTGGAAATCACTACAACAACTGCTGTGGCCATATACTAAACTTCAACACAATGGCCCACCACCTGTGTAACACAATCTGTATTTTAGTTTGTAAAGTCTTCCCCTCCCCAACCCTGGACTTCCTGTTTTGTGTGTGTGTGTGTACAGCTCAAGTGTAGAATTACATATACTACCTTTCTAATATGATTTGAGAGTTAAAACTTCAAAACAAATGGTTTTAAACTATCATTGAAAGTTGTTAAATATCGTCTAAAAAAATTACGAAGCCCAATCTGGAAATACAAATGCAAATTCCCCCTCTGACAACTAAAGACTGTCTTAATCCTGTTAAAGATTCAAAGAAAGATTTGTAATAAGTCTAAATGTGCAGGTACTAAGGAAAAGAATTTTATTTACAAAAGCAAACTTTTATGCATTTTAGGCATCTGTGTCATTTCAGTGTCAAATCAAGACTAATGTAATTTTATTGATACACAATAAAGAGAATTGAAAATTGTCTCAAGAGTATGTTAACACTCTAGTAGCAATGAGCAGTTGGTATACAGCATCGATAAATAGGCAACTAGTTTTCTTTACTTTTTCAAGTGCTTCTTCACTGGCAAAATCCTTGATCAGATGGTAGAGAGTAGAATGAAATTCAGTATTGCTTGCTAGCTCTTCTGAGAAGGCTTCACTACTTTCATTGATTTTGAGTCTTTGTGCTCGCTGGCCATTAAACATGTAAAGGGACCAGTCTTCCTCAGTAACAGTATCTGTTTTAAGGTGTTCACTCACCTACACCAGAATGGAAGAATAAATGTAACATATTACCACCTTTTCTATAAAAATAGTTAATGGAGTGAAGATTGATAGCTTGGAATGTTGATCCAGATTTCATTCCCTGCTGAAGTCTCTGCAAGAACTCTGGATCTAGCCTGAAGTGTCTGAGTCTGTAATTCAGGCCCTCAAATCTTCCCGCCCCCCCCCCCCTGACTTTTAAAATCCCCATGGTGCCTAAAAATTCCACTGGACCTTTGCACCACCCACTTAAACCTAATGCTGAGTACCTGACTTAAGAAGCATTTAGTCTGAGGCCAGATCTACACTAAAGGTGAAGGTCAAATCCAACAACTCCAGCTCTGTTAATTAACTTGAGTCAATGTACATTAGTTTGAGGTTTTCCTGCTATCTTCACAGCAGGAGGCCAATAGGAGCACCAGGTGCTGGTGCGAGGCACCTCTCAGTTCAACTTAGCAAGTGTTAACTAGACTCACTAAATCAAACTCTGGAAGATTGATCAGACTCTGGCAGTGGCTATCTGTTGTTTTTAAGGCTATGTCTACACTGCAGGCTTTTTGCGGAAGAGATCTTCTGCAAAAACTTCTTGCGCAAGAGTGTATCTAAAGCGCACTGCACAAGTCCAGACTGCATGGACGTGCTCTCAAAAGAAAGCTCTGATTGCTATTCATAGAATAGCCACCTGAGATTTTTCCAATTGGCTCTTTTTGCAAAAAAACCCTTGTTGCCCATCCCCACACACCTTTTTGTGCAAGAACGAGTTATTCCTCATAAAAAAAGGAACACCTACATGCAAAATCCCTCTGTTCTTTTGGTTTACTGTAAACTTACTTGTGCAAAAACACACTTGAACTACAAACACTCTGCAGGTTTTTGTACAAAACCCCTGTAGTGTAGGGGTAGCCTAAGTGAACACATGGCCTGAGCTCCTGTGTTTTATCAGAGGATTCAATATGGTAGCCTTGTTACTCAATGCCTTCTGAATCTGGCCCTGTGCTGAAGGTGGTATGTAGTCTAACTCTG